TTTAAAGACCTTAACCCGTCATCAATTCTACTTTGTTCCAATGTGACTTTGTCTCGCGATTTCTATAATGCGAATTCCAAATATGTTTTCTTGCAAGATGATAAATTTTCCCAACAAGCTCTTAATAATTATCAAGCGCGAATCGATGTGAGTGGTCGTGGAGGGGGACTCGAAGACGTGAGGGGGCCGCATTGCCGGTGCGGGTGGCGAGCGGTGAGGGGACGCAGCACCGCGCAAGTCGCCGCCCGTATCGACCGCCCCGGATGTGCATTGCAATGCTGCCAGAGAGATCAGGCGACCCACCTACTCGCGAAACACCACATTGCTCGGATCGAATCGGATATATAGCAGAGTTGTAAACGTGGTCGCTAGCCATGCCGTGCCGATCACACGGTCTCCTGTTTGTTTGTTTACATCACTTTATTCTATAGTAAAATCTTAAATACTTAGGATATTGAGATTTAAATTAGTACAGACAAAAAATGTTAATGATTCACTACCAAAACAACGGCAGGACAAGAAGAAGAATAGAAGATACAGATCTTCTATCTAGTTCATTAGTCAACATAATTAAGTCTAGTTTTATTAATAATAGTTTTCTTTAATATTTGTTATATATTGGTACTATTTTGGAAATAGTACTAATAACATATAAGTTAATTAAATAAATTATTAATTAAAATATACAAATATATATTAAAATTTACAGATATATAATTTAGTCGGTATATTAATTTTACGCACTTTTATGCTATGCAAGTGCAATACAGACGGACTTCTCTTGTTGTCGTCTATGCGATTTGTTTGTTTTTTTTTTTAAAGTACTGTTCCCAATGTAACTTTATATATAATTCACCTAACCATGTTATTAAAATAGCAACTGCAACGGATTATCTTATTACTAATACAATGGTTAAAATTATGCACGGGGTACTCCTCGCCGGAACTGTAGGAGGGGTATCTATTTCCGACAGTGGTCGGTCAATGACATCGGCCCGGAACCGTAGTTGAGCGATTAGGCGGGGTGCAGTCTTTACAATTAGCGCTAATTTTCTTGATAACCAAAAATCGCATATATTTTATACCAGAGGGAGACTGTACAAAAGTCGTTTGCTTGGATATTTCTGTTTCATTTGTGTTTCTGGCGTGAAGCAGTTGTTTGCATGTTTCGGTTTGAAGGGGATATCAGTGATATTACAGGCTACAGAGGCCGTACCGTAGTCTTCGGGAATGACAAGGCATGAGGGGTATCATGGGCAATACAATATATTCTGGGATGACCAAGGTATTGTTCACATCTATAGGCAATATCGCAAAAAAGTATTTGGAAATTTTAAAGCTTTGCGAACTTCAGATATCTATGAAGTACTTAGATTGTAGAATTTTTAGCACTTGATGGTATCCATGTCTATTATTAGATGTATATTAATATGACTTTTAAAAATATTATAATTTTTCATAGAAATAGGTATTTCAAATATATCAAATGAAGATTTCTTGTTCAATATTATCAAAACTAAGTTGAAAATGTATATGTTTAGGTGATTGGGGTATACGTAAATACTTCACACAAAATCGACTTCAATTGCGGCAAAACCAGTTATATTAATTTAAAAACTAAACCACTGAATCGATTATGATTACATTTCTACGAGACATTTTAGAAAAAAAATAAAAGATTTTCAAATCGGTTTACAATTGACGGAGTTATAAGGTAACAAACATAAAAAAATACAACCGAATTGAGAACCTTCTCTTTGCAATCTGAAATCTGAAAAAACGATAAACGTGTTACTTTATTATTGTTCTAATAGTATACCTACCTACATACCATTAGGTGAGAGGTATTTACTGCAGGTAGTTATTGAGACGCCTTAAACGGTCTCTGAATAATAATATTCCATTCTTTGCTTGTCAAAGAATTCTTGTAAGTAATGGTATTGTTTTCACTTTATGCGCGTTCTTAACTAATTTTATGGCATGAATTTTTATTAATTAATTTAATGCATTTGAAAAGAAAATATGTTAATTAACCGGATTGTACAAACCTCTACCATCTAGAGTTCCATTATGTACTTTAAAAAGTACAGAAACATACTAATTGTAATAAAAATTTGGCGCGTGAAAAAGTTGACCATTCTTTCAAGAAAAGGGCGCCCAACACAAAGATTCTCGGAAAGGTAGATCGATGTACTCAAAGCCCAGTACTTCGTTCTCAGTTCTCACATAAAGCGAGCGAAATTAACAAAGGATAATGTAATTAGTACCTATTGATTGCTTTGTTCGATTCTGTTTTATGGTATTATATTCTTACTTTGTTCGATTTTGTTTTATGCTATTATACTCTTACTTTATTAAGGTTTCACCTTTTTACACCAATCTGTCGCAAAAGAGAGCTGTTATAAGATTTCTGCTGGTGCGTATCCAGTTGGCTCCGTATCTCATTAATGGGTATTAGATTTCAAAGCGATTTAAGTAATCAGGGGGAATGTTTAGTATTTACGATCGTACTTTTATTTTTTATTTTTTCTAATTCATATTTAATAATCTTTTATTGCAACTAATACTTTTTTATCGATACCTAAGTAGGGTAGTGTTTGATATCAGCCATATTACTTAATATAGTGATTAAATTATAATTTTTAATAGATATGATTTATTTATATATATATTTATTTAGCAGATTTAATAACAAAAGTATTCAGTATGTATACAAATATTGCATAGAAAAAATATGAACTTTCTGCTTTTTCTTTGTACATATTTGTCACATTTTATTTTAAATCTGGATTTTCTTCAGGAAAACTGATTCAGTTGATCATCAAAAATAAAACTCCAGTATACAAATATTAATTCTATAAAAACATTGCAGTACCGTTCAATATTCATACAATTATTCTCGTGATTAGTGATTTAATATTAACCATGAAATAATACGTTTTAAGGCGCGTACCGTTTACTGAAATCAGAAAACGATTCATGGACGAATGGGATACAACTTCTATCCACGACGTGGCAGTATGCCGTTGTTTAGTAGTCGAGAAGCGCGCTCGGCAGGCGGCGCGGGCGCGTTTCTTTTTTGTCCCCCGCAGATTCCATTGCCCCATGTCCAACCAGTAAGTCCGGCAGTTTGCCGAGCGTTGACCGCGCGGCTTGCCACGAAGCGCAAAGCTGTTGGACAACTACAGAGGACGCTTTCAATAGCTCCCGTAAACTTTATGCTATATCCAATACCCATGTTTTTGTTATCTTTTTTACAATCACTTAAATAATGGGCATTCTAAAGAAAAGGTGACGACATCATCAATGTCCGTTCCTAAATGTGGTTATTATAACTAAAATAATGCTGTTATTAAATGTCGAAAGTGACGCCCCCACAGTTTGTCGTCATCACTCAAAATAAACACATTACTATTTTTGTATCCGAAGCTACTTTTGGTTTGTTTACGAGTTTTAGATCAGTTGATGCCTGACGTGATTACCTTTTTTCTGTGGTTACTGCGTACTTCTTTAAAATGGTTAGAAGTATCAGTAGTACAGCATTTAAGTGGATGTTGAAGAACCATAGTAGGCGGTAATAAAACTCAAGTACACCCATATGGAGGTGAACGACCGTTTACTTTATAGAAGGCTTGGCGAAGTTTCGTTTCATTACTTATTGTCTTAATGTCATTAAGTACCGGTTACCACAATCCTGAGTGAGTGTCCTTTGGTTCTTGTAATGTGTAATCAAGATTTTATAACACGAATTTAGCGAATTAATCAACAGCTTGTGTGATCTCTGCCGACAAATTTGTTTGGCAAAATAGGCATGTAGTATTTCAAGTTTCCTATAAGTTTATAACATTGTTTTTATTTTATTTACTTCCTATATCCTACAATATAGGTGCATAGAGTAGTTAGTAGCGTTAAATATAATATTTAAAATTGAATAAACTAAACTAAAATGCTAATTAAATATGCAATTAATTCTAACAACTAAACTAAATCTTTTTGAACAAAATATAGTCTTTGGTCTGTTGTACTTATTATAACTTGTTACTATTGAAATACATTTAGTCGTTGAAAGAAAAGCAACAAGAAGGAGAAAAAATTCTAAACTTAGTATATACAGATATATATATATATATATATATATATATATATATATATATATATATATATATATATATATACTCATTTTTTTTAATCCACGTTTGACAATATTACATATATTCCAGAAAATCAAAGTATTAATCTTTTATGTATTAACACAATATCTAATTGCACTTAATTGGCTATATTTTGAATAAAATATTAAAAACCATTCATTCATATAGGATCGTTACAGACGCGTTCCTCGAAAAGCAATTTCAATAGAAAGAGGGCAAGAAACTCGAGTGTAGCTATTTTCAATAAAATTAAATTGAAATTTTACATCTAGCATATTCAATTTTTTAAACTGTAGGTAAAACGAGCGCTATACTATGCTAGATGGAAAATTATTATACTACACCACAAATGAGTGGGACTATTTGATAGGAACTTGTTTAACAGCCGAAATTTTCAATAATTATACAAAGTTATAAGAGAATGCCATCGAGTTTCTTTAGCAATTCACCACTAATATGAGAAATGGACAGTAATTATAGATGTTTTATTAAATACTACATGTAACATATGTATTTCGTAATTAGGTTTAATATGGTGTTTTATTTGTTAATTTTTTATACCTGCTTCAATAAGTTATTAAATAGTTTTAATGTAAAATATCGATGTTTTTATCTGGCTTTACTTCGATTGTGTCAAGAACAACTATGGCCAAAACCTATTTAATTTTTTCAAAAGTACACAGAACTACGAGATAGGGCTTTGTTACTGAATGTTAATTGAAGCCTTTGGCAGCCTCCTTGTTGATTTAGGGTACAATAAAATTAAAAAGGCTGCGAGGCATTCTTTTAAATTATTTCTAAATTAATGCAGTTGCATTTTTTACATTTTTTTTATTACAGGATCGGACATTGTTGACATAATTAAAAATATATTACAATTGAATTAAGTTGATTTTTAGTATTAGTGCAGTTACAAAAAACTGCTTACAAAAACGAAAAAATGACGAGTATTTACTAGCATATTTTATTTTTTGCGTAGGCAGAGTCGCTAAATTGAGATTTTGACTATTAAAAAAGGATTTCACATACCTACAAGTATGATCTACTTTTTAATAACTACTCTCTAATCTTAAATAACTTATTTTATAGCCTATTTGTAGTTGAATTTGGTGTAAAGCGTTATATTTTTTTTAAAACTTTATGTAACCACACAACACTCAATGAGTGAATAACTGAAGATAGAAATTATAAATTGTTAATTCTTGGTTTGTGAAGTTTGAATTGGGATGAAGTATGAAATTTACTTATTGTTATAGTAGGTAATTATGTTAAGTATCCTCATTTTAAATATATAATATAATATTTGAGATACGGTTGAAGGACGAGTGTTGTCCGGGTGGTGTTTAGTATAGATTTTCCGAATTGACTAATTACATATTTTCACAAATAAATGATGAATTATGTTTAGGAGATAAAAAATTTCGTCATATAATCCCAATTATAGGAAGTGGCCCTTTGTCGCAGATTATTAATTTTATAAGTGGCAATAGTGATCCAATTTCAAAAAATATATTTGCGATTAAAGGAATAGTATATATATTGCGTAATAAAATAGCGGAATACTGCGTCGTAAAATATGGGATTCATTTTAGAGTTCTGTCAAGTACGTTTTTCAAATGTATTAACTAATTTCAGTGCAGATTTTTTTTGTTAAAAATTTTCTAATACGAGTATTTAGATTGAAATGGCTCCTCTTAGATATGCCTCTACCAACCAACATGTTTCCATATTCGTTATCAAATCGACCTTCAGTATGGATATAGTCAAGGTAACGAATTCCTAAAATAATAATGACATCCTGTAATTTTATTTTTACTGCCTCCTATAACTCTATATTTGACTTGAATACGATATTGAACTTTGAATTGTTTCGTTGATTTTTTATGTGAATTTGCAATGATTGGGTAGACTGCAGTAATAGATGAGTAATTTGTCAATAATAGTTTATATGAGCTTCCTTAAATGACGGGTCAGTGTTGATGTGCAATAATAGAGCTATCAGTGTAGTTACACAGATAACATGATGATGGACGAGGAAAGAGATGAAAAGAACAGTCGCAGGAATGAGATAGTGTGAGTGGACGTGCTAGTTGCGCGCGCGCCGTTCATTGATGCGCAGGCGCCGCGGAGGTTTGCGGAGGGGCGGGGGAGAGGAATGCGGCCGCGGCGAGCAATGACCGCGCCAGGGTCGCTTCCTTTACGAGAAGCGCGGGCCGTCGTACTACAGCCGACTTCCCCCCCGCTCTTGCCCCTGGCCCGTACTACATTGGCCCTCTCGGCTGCGACGCGCGCTTTTCGACCCGCAGTCCGTTACAAAAATTAAGTGCGCCGCATTCCGCGACCGTTTTGTTGTCTCTGTCCCACTTAAGTGTCTTAACACTATCTCTCCTTTTCATTTCTTTCTCGGGTGAGTAGCGTGTTGTTTGGCGTCTAAAGTTGGGCGCAGGGCGCGAAACTTGCGCCTGAACGACCGCTTTCTGCCTCGTTATTAAGTTGGTTATGGTTACGTGTATGTCAACATAGGTTATTTGTATTACTTATTCAGAACAAGGTATCTACAACTAGTCTAGTTATTCGCTAAAACAATTTTTGATAAATAGTTTGGAACCAACTTTTTGGGTAGAAATATCCGAGTAGATGTCACCTAAGATCCAACATTTCAGAGTTTGTACCTATTGACAATCCAGGTTACATAACCGGTATTAAAATCTTGAGACTGAGAGTCTTTTTTAAGAGGCTTCCTTTCTGTGGTCTACTACATAAATAATTGGTCATGATGATAATAGCCATTATCTATCAATGCTATGCTCGCCATCACTAGGGAATAAGCCACATCTGAGAATTTACATTTTGGAAAAGTTTCTTTATGCCTTATGGAATCTCATTCCACAACCAAGTGTGGATTTTCCTTAGGGATTACAGCGAGAGTTCTTTTAAAGGCAGTTAATAAAATTTCTTCGTGTAATTGTTTACTATTACCTACATGATTTCTACGCTTGTTTCTTAGCCTTACTATATCATATTCATCCATTAATAAATCTATACTTTTTTTTTCAACCATCTTGGTATTCGAATTGTGGAACTGTGAAAGATGATTTTCTACTTTACATTTTTTATTATAATAATGTGGCTCTATTATTATAGTTGTATTAAATACAGTCACATTGATTTGTAATTAATATACGTAACCATTTTAATGGAACTGTATAAAAAATATTAAAGTACATTTGTTCTATACTGTGATTGCTTCTTGTAATCATTTTTTATCGGCTAGGTAAATTTGTTTTTAGGTTACCTAAATTGGCCATATTAGTACAAAAATGCTGCTTCAATTGATCATTCTTATCCACATATCTTTTCTTCGAATACCATCATATTTTTTTATACTTGTCTGATATTTGCAAATAAAATTTCAGATTTATTTGCCGAAGTGTTTCAGTATCTTGACATAAACAATGTCATACAGATTTTAGGAAACTTTGTTGTACCGTTAATCGTGTTCCTCATGTGATGTCACGTTTGAAACTAAAAATTTACGCTGTTTGTTGTAGGTATCTCTTCATTTTCAGGAGCACTCCCCTTGATAATAAGTTAAGTCTAGGGATACTTAGCGTTGATATGTCCAGCGACGTACAGTTTTGCGGTTATCTGGAAGAAAAAGCTATGATGGCCTTCAAAAAGTTAGGAGTGCTCAATAAGAGTGGTCACTTATCATTAGATAAGCCGCATACTTGTTTGCCCCTTGTGTTATAAAAAAATATATATTGTGCCTTATGGTAGAGATTCTACGGTATTTCCGATCACGGTATCTCTTCAAATTATAGCACAACGATACAGTTTCTATACTGTTTACAGAAGTAAGAGGTTAGATGGTGGCGGCCGTCTTGGAGAGCTATATAAAGCTGATAAATTATTTTGACCCCAATTAGACGTTACTCAAATCCAACTCATATATAGGCAGGAATTTAGCTGTTCATATAATTTATTATATAGGAAATTCACAATTTTACTTACGTCATTATATTATTGGTAAAGTATCAGCTCCTTCCATTGGACCGCATTCGAAGTCGGTGCCTTGCTATCTGACTCGACCCACTGAAACTGCGTAGAGATGTTGCATCTTTGTGCATCTTTTACCGAATTTATCATGGGTAATGCTCTGATGAGTTCTTCGGATTGATACCTGCTGCTGATTTTCACCACCGCACAACCCGCCACAGACTAAAGTTCAATCCCAACCATCTGGTTAAGTGGCGGTTTTTTTAAAGTACATTCATTCAAGCATAATCACTCTTTAGATTCAACTTCTAGCAAGAGTTTTTGAACCGATATGACATCGTAACCTTCAAGAAAAAAGCATATCTCTTTTTAAAAGGCCGGCAGCACATCTGCAATGCTTCTTGTGTTGTGGGTGATCTTAGGCAACGGTAATCATTTATCATCAGGTAAGCTGCATGCTCGTTTGAAAAAAAATTCAATTATTATAATTAGTTAGACTCTAATATGTAATACTCACTACGGCTTTTGCGGGTATTTTTTTTTAATGGGCGATAATGGAATAATAACCCCATCTGCGCTATCGGTATATGCTAGAAGGGCATCAGCGAGGCAGCATGACAAGTGAGGATGAAGGCAGGTTAGTTGGCTCATCGAGAAATTTGCCACAAGACCTAGATAGTCTCCAGACTGAACCCATATTGTACATGTGGTAAAGAATTGCGTGGAGGTCGACCTGATAGCGTATATTGCTAGCAATGGATCCCAATACTTACATTCATTTCCTCGGCCACTGCGGGGTAGGTAGATAGATCTATATTTATTACATACAAATCTATATGACCTATATTTAGTTATAAAGGAACTTGATGTGTAAATAGATTTAAATATATAGATATAAATTGGAAGAAAACGTGATAAAACCGAATTTGATTGGTGAATCTAGGAATGGCTTACGCGACCTTCGCTTTCAATATTCCACAGTCGTCTGTCTGGATACTATGAAGTTGAATAAGTGTCATATAATAACTCTAAATGTTATGCCTCAAATTAGGATACCTTTATTATAAGTACAAGATAACAAACAAATGTACACAAATGCATATTATATTTAATATTTTGCCTTATAAACTTTTTATATCCATATTTATTAAATTTACTAAATATCAATATTTATCTTAAATACAGACATTTATATTATCTCTGCTATGGTAATAAAAAAGAATAGAATAGACCTAGTGAAAAGAAGTTGAAGTGATTAAATTAGAATACGCTATAGGTACGATCAATCACCGTACATTTCGACGTATCAGTCATATTTCGTGGTAAACCTACAATAGTTGACTTTATTATAAAAATTTTAATTCAACATTTTCCATGTATGTCAAGCAAGTCGACTGCGCGTGCTCACAACAATATCAACATCAAGTTGTATTAAATACAAATATTTTAAATCACAAAGAAAGATATCCTCAAAGCAAAGGTGCAAGAACAAACCTTTATATCTTTGTGGTCCTTGGAAATCGGCCAGTGAAGTGTTTTTGTATATGTCGTGGGCAATAGCCGATCGGTTTAATTGGCCTATAATCGGGTCTCACCAATCAAATTGAGAAACCGCGTATATTGAGCTGAGATTGCTGGTATACTGAAAAACTCCAGTATTCGATTAATAAGAAGCTATCAAGTACTTATCAAAAATCAAGTATTATCAATTACTTATTAAGAATTATTAAGTAATTATCAAGTTTCAAGAAGATATAAAGAATTATCTAGTATTTATTAAGTATCAAGAAGATATCAAGAATTATCAAATATCAAGTTCTATGAAGTAATAAAAAGATATCAGGCATTTATCAAGAATCATCAAGTATCAAGTACCGTGAAACTATCGAAAAACTTTATATCAATTTCAAGACTACATTGATCGTAAAATAAATATATTAAACAATTATTGTCATGATTTTCTTAACAATCACATATGCAATTATGGATTTATCAAAACAAGTTCCATTGTACAATATTACCAAGGGAAAATACAAAAATGTCCTAAGTAAGATTAATCATGTGACCCAAAAAGAAAAAGCCTCAACTCCACTTCTTAAGCCAGCAACTCCAATTGGCGTACTATCAAGATCAGGTACCTAACAGCTTTCTCTCTCTCAGGATACTCTCAATTTTTATCAAGAGTTACGAATAGCAAGACCGAGGAAATGTTCAAAAAGCAAACAAGCAACTTAAGAGCATTTTTACGGACTGTCTCTAGTATTGAAGCGAGTGCAAACTGAATACAGACGTGTAATATATAATTAATTTTATAATATAATTAATACATTAATTAATAAAAATTATGAAACAAAATAATAGAAAAGTCAAGATAGGATTTTCTAGAAATTATATAATTGGCAGACCCTGGATTTTACAAGAGCCGCCCAGTCCGAGCTCTACTCCCAGACATATATATATAAAAACTTAAACAGAATTATATTCAAGAATTAAGTATATTGAAACAAAAGCATTTACAAGTAAAAGTGAAATCTTTGAAGCGATATAATAATATATTCGCTGTCTACAAGAAGTATTTAGCCGAATATTACTATCGGGGTAATTAACACTAACATAGCGACAGTATAAATACGCATATACATCTGCATATACTCGTACATATATCTAGAATGAATAAATGGAGTCTTTTTATTGTTCCTTTCAAAGAATGATACACATTACAAAGATTAATAATATGTACACAGTACCAGAATATTAAGTATCAAGTTTACCCAACAAGAAGAATTCTCAAAAGAAATAGAATAATTAAATAAAATCAACAGTGCAGTTATTCATTAAAATCTTGAAGTGATGAAAATGAAAAAAAGGGTTTTAATTCAGAATTAAATTTTGAATTAAAACCCTTATCTGGATCAAGATGGCGTTATCACAGATGGACATATCGGAGTAGCTACATTAGAAACGAAGGACGGCTATTTGAAACGTCCTATAGTAAAATTATCAATACTACCGGTCAGTCAAAACTCAGAAAACAATCGAGATTTTTAAGCTCATAATCCATCGTCGTCGCCAGAACCTCAATAGAATAGGCGTAGCCGAAACAAGATAAAAAAATTCACCTTCTCGTCCATAGTAGCAGAATGGTTATGCTTTTTAAATATGTATATTCACTGCATCTGAAGGCTTTCTTCAAATCTTTGGACCCAAATTAAGAATTTTATTTCGATAAAATCACAGATATGCAGATAATTTGAGATAAAAGAAATATTATCGTATATTATGATTTGGACATTACCATTAATACATACAAAATATCTCTCAAAGCTTGCATTTCATACTAGCGAATTGCAAGCTTTAAAAAAATATTTTAACTGTTTACAAAAGATATGCGATAAAATTAAAGAAAAAATAAAATTGACATCATACTAGGGCAGTTACGTCACCGTTACTCCGAGTTACAATATTATAATACAATTTTATTTAGTCAACATTCCCGCACGCGCGCTCACGGTGCGGGCTTATCAATGGTATCGGCTTTCTAGCCAACTCGCTGTTCGACGTATTAGACGAGAGATTCGCAGAACAAAATCAGAACGATTCTACACTCATACGCAGGAATCAACAACATTTAGTATTATTTTGATGATATCAAATATCATTATAGAAGCTGAAACCAATTTACTAAAAATATACAATGGAATATCTAATCTCCTCCTTTTTTAAAATTGGTTAAAAAGAAGTGAAGTAGCTATGGATAAACAAAGCAAAATAATAAATAAACAGATATGATGTGAAATATTTCACAAGTTAATTATTTTATTAACATTGTTTTAACAACTAATAACATGATATATAATTTGCAAACAATTGAAGACAGATATTTATCATGGAAATTTTCTATTTTCGTCTTATAATTCCTTAACAACTCCAAAGTGAACTGAGCATTATATTAAGTAAAATTTCGAAGGAGATGACTTTACCCATAGATAACATACATGCTAGCTTGCAAAGCTTTTCATTTACTGAAGGTAAAAACCAGGATGTATGAAGATTACCTATACCCTTATTTTAAGATCAAGGTTCCATTCATTAGCAGAGATACCTTCGAACTATTCCGCCTTATTACCACACCAATTGTGATGAATCATAACAAGATGAGAAGTACACTTCCTATATTGGAATACGTAGCAATTAATCTAGCAAAAGATGCCTACCTACATATAAATGAAAGTGGAGAACACAACCACTTACCCGTATACAGTTATCAAGACGAAACTAGCTATCTATATCCTTTACAGAACCCATATATATATCACTTATCTCATGGTGACAGTTTGTGTGACGAAGACGTATTAAACCAATGCAAAAATGTTGTTGATCACTGTACCAATAAATGAATTGAATTAAAGAATATAAATAAATACTTATATTTTTGTTGTGGAAGGTGTACATTACGAGGAATGTGCGCGAATCAGGTATCCACACCACGCTTGGCGCACGCTGGCTTCGTCAGCGGTTTACACGGATGCATTAGCATGTTTGAATTATTTACAGTTTACGCTCATAATGAAGATTAGAGCATCATCAAACTAGGTTAGATAGCAACAGCAGCAGATCAATCCTATAAACAATCTTATTAATGTATCAATTTCGACTTTACCACTGGTTGACGATACAAACAGAAGTCGTCATCAGCAAATTATAGATATAGACAAGAAATTAAACAAATTGTAGGAGTCGTGGTACTGGTGAGTGATATATCTTATCATGGTGTACATCATTATGCTCTAATATACTTCATTATCAGTACAACGATTATAACTGGAGCGGTACTGGTGTGGAAGAGTGTGTAACGAGCAAGATCGGTCAGCAGTGGCGAGGGCGGCGGAGCCAAACCGTTGGGCTCTCCTCTATTCGTAACAGTATATGTAAAAACATAGACTTGTGTGATACGCAAGTGTAGTGTTCGAATGTAAAACCTAATGTGTGTAAAGTGAATAGACGTAAATCGTATATATTTCATGAGCAGTGTTTTTGATAAATAATAATTAAGTGTAGATTTAGTATTATTTTATTCCTTTTGTATTTCATTTTTAATATTATATTGTTTTATTATAATTATCATGTTTGTAATCATTATCTTGCATTTCTGATGCCCGGAGCAAGTACGGTCAATCACCGCACATTTTGACGCATTAGCTATATAACGTGGCATTCGTAGCTGACTAATATTTTTAATTAATCATTGACCGCAATTGTCAAGCAAGTCGAATGCGCATGTTCAAAACAATGTTAAAATCAAGTTTCATTAAATATTAATATATTTTAATATTTTAAATCACCAACAAGGAGTTGTTAACATTTATCAAGAAAAGGCATAGGAACAAACTCTATATAGGATGCTTAATTGTAATCTATGAAAGATAATACTACTTATAGTAATTTACAATTTATAGCATACAGTATCGCTGATACTGTAGCTTTCTATAGGTGAAATAATTTTTAAAATCGGTTAAGTATTTTTATCCATTCGAAACAAAATATTTATAAAATTACACCCTCTTTATTTACGTTTGTTAACTCTTTAATTCTCTTAATCCAGAATCACTATAAGTATTTGAGGGAGTGAAAACGAAATCATTAATCTCGAAATGTTTTTAAACACGAAAGGTGTTTATGAAGTATTTAAATTTAAGAAAGTTTTACAGAAATTTTTAACTTAAATATTTTTAAAATTTATTTAGCTTAACATTCTAGAAATTCAGCTTGTAAGCTTGGAATTATTGATAAATATGTCAAGTAACGTGTCTTTAGGTAGAAGAAATATTTCTTTTTAATTCTGCCCATGTTACTCGCTGATAGTGTAGCATTCTATAGGTAAAATAATTTTTAAATTCGGTTTAACACAATATAAATACAATACAAATACAAAGAAAATAATTGTAACGGATAAAAATAATATGTGATAAAAAAAATGACGATATGATGATTCCAAGTTCACAAGTTGTATCATATTCTTAAGTCTTTCCTCCTTTTGTGTGTTGTGTCTATATAATGAAGTATTTTATGGAATTGTTCAACTTAATATCCATGGGTGCCTTCTACCTTCACACTGCTTTCCTTCTACAGGGAGCTCAACTGAGTTTTCAGAGATCCTTCATCCTACGTTCGTTTAGGTTATGGAATAAGCTCCCTATTACAGCATATTATCCAGAACGGGGTAAAGAGGAAATGCCTTAGGTATTGAAAGCGCCATTAGGCTATAATAACCGCTCACCATCGGGGGAAACAGATGGTTATTAATAGGGTCTACTAATTCCATTACTAACAGTCTACATGTACCTACCAAATCGATGATGGGTTTATCCAGCTTTATATACCAATAGCGCAGTCGGGGTTACTATGTCATTTTTATCTCTAAGTTAGGGCCAGTAACGCCCACGTGATATACCTGGTAATGCAAATGTTCATAGATTACAGTGACTGTTTACCATCTGATGGGCTGTATGCTTGTTTCCCACTTTCGTGGTATAAAAACAAAAACTATTTAATATCTGGTGGACTGTACACTTATGTGCTATATCAGTGGTATAAAAAACACTAATACGAAAAATAAAAAAGAAAGTGAAG